ACTAATAATAATATAAATTAAATATAATTAGTATAAATTATAAATAATATAGAATGAAATAATATAAAAATATGAAATAGAATGAAATAATATAAATATAGAATGAAATAGTATGAAAATAGAATAAAATAGTATGAAATAAAATGATATTAGTATGAAATATAATAAAAATAGAATAAAATATTGTAAAAATAATATGAAATAATTACAGATAATATAAATAAATATAAATATAATTTACAAATTAATTATTCAATGAAAATTAACTATAAAAAGTCATGTAATATGTTAAAATTTATATCACAACAATGTCAAAGATAATAGATTTGAAAGTTATTCTAGTTAAAGAACTATAAAAAATTATTTATAAGCAAGTATGAAAATAATTTTATAAAAATATATTTAAAGATATAGAAAATATATTTTTCATTTAAAAAATTTTTAGTTAATATTTATTGAATAAATTTTAGTCAAAAAAAGATTTAATTTTAATAAATTTCATAATAAAATATAGTAAAATATAATAAAAATATTAGTTTTATTATATTTTATTATAAATTTATCAAAATTAAGTCTTTTTTAATTGGTATTTATTTAATAAATATCAACTAAAATTTTTTTAAATTACAAATATATTTTTTATATCTTTAAATATATTTTATAAAATTATTTTTAAACTTGTTTATAAAAAATAATTTTAAATAATTTTTATAGTATTTTAACTAGAATAATCTTTTAGCTTACTATCTTTAGCATGTAATTTCACAAAATATTATTATATTAATATATTTGTAATCTTAAAAAATTTTATTTTTATCATTTTAAAGAATATAATACCAAATTTTCATAAATTTTTAGCAATTTCTTATTAATAAGTTATAGACAAAAAACATGTTTACTATTACTTTTTGTGTTGATTGTATTATAATTAAATAAATTAAAGAATATAATTATCTTTAAATATTTCTGATCTTATTCTAGCTTTTTTATTTGAATTAATTCATATATAACTTATATATTTTTCTATAACAAAGCTAAATTTATATAAAGTAATAATAGTAATTTATATTTAATTATAGAACTTATTACAAAAATAGGAAATATATAAATTTTTTATATTTGTTATTATAAGTTTTAAGAATATTATAAATATAATTATTAATTTTATTACTAATTATAATTGAAATTATATATATAGTCAAATTTCTTTATAGTAACCACTCTCAGAAAAGCAAAATTTGGTAACTAAAGAAAATGTAACTATAAAAAGATTTTTTACTATATTTATATATAAATAGAAAAGCAAAATAGGATGATTATAGAGAGATGTGATTATAAACAGATGTGACTATAGAAGAGTTTGACTATAATAGAATTAATTCTATCTTTTTTATAATAATTGAATGAATTAATTATATTAATACCAAAATTGCCAAATATAATATATATAATTAAAACTAAAATATATTTATATTTATTTAAATTTTATTATTTTGCTTTTTATTTATATATAAACATAATAAAAAACTTTTTATAGTTATATCCTCTTTATAATTATCCAATTTTGCTTTTCCAAGAATAATTATTATAGAAAGATTTGTTTGATTATATTCTTATTTTTTTAATTCAATGTCAATTAATAAATAAAGTTTATATAAATATTTTTATTATTTTGATTGATAATTATAATATACAGTCTGTTTTTTAAAAATAAAAAACTTAAAATAACTAAAAATTTATATCCTAAAGCATCAGTATTTAGTATACTCTTAATACATGTTTGAATGCAGATTGGCACATGGTAATATATCTAAGAATCGCGTCTTCCGAAATATACTCCCATGTCTTTCTACTAGCACACCAAAAATCTTCTGTGACATGTTCTGCTTTTGTAATATCATTATTTTAACTCTATTTTTATGCTTCACTTAAAAATACTTAATTATTTTCTATATAATTGAGATTGATCCATATAAAACCATATCAAACTGCATTTTACATAATGCGCCACAAAATTGTCATGGAAATTTTTCAAAAGAAGCTTTAGATGGATAACCAAAAAGTGAATGGTTGAAATTTGAATATTTTTATAAGATAATATTATATCATTCACCGAAATAAATATGAACATAATTCATTGAAGAAATTGTTGCAGTGCTGTAATGAGACTTGGCAAAAAGTTCTTCGAGACCTCAGGGTCTGAATCTCTAGAGTTTTTTTTTGGTGATAATGCATACTAGCAGCAGATAAATAGGAAATATAACGTAGGTCAGCATTAATCTGCAGGTGACATTGTGTTTTGGGTACGTCTCAGCAGATGCATACAACCCAAAAACGGTCCGCTGTTACTTTCCGCGCGGACTGTAGCTAATAAATGAGAAGAACCAGTAAACTGTGAAAACAACAAGTTTCACAGGTTAGCATCCGGTTTTATTAAAGATCAACTGGCAGGGATCCGTAAAAATATTTATAGTAAGATTGAGGTTTGATATATCCAAATTTTTATGGTTCCCTGTTAACCGAGGGGTCGGATCACTATCACACATCATGAATCAACCTTTAACGATACAGTCTATTTTTTAAAGTTATTTTTATATTGAAACTCATGCAAATAATTATATTTTAATTTTAAATTCGACCAATAACATTATTTGTAGATAACGATAACGATATTAAAGCTTCAAAATTCTATAAACAGTATCGAAACGTGCCGATCACAAAGACACTATCAATACGTATCGATTTCAATACGTATAACGATAATATTGCATACACATACAATTATTGTGTTGTGTTCTCGTTTTCGTTTTCCTTTGAAAATTATAACCCAGCAAAGCATGAATACCGATACATGTATTGGGTTTATCATTCACTCTATCGTTGGATTGAAAAGTTGATTGATAACAAATTAAGGAGTCAAAACAGCAAGATTAATTTGATAACGAAATGATTTGCCAAAATGCTTAATAAATCGATCGAGTTTATCCTTTTTCTACTTATTATTACAACTGTTTTAATTATAATACTATCGTTATCAATACAAATATCTGGAAATGTCGTTGCTGCCGAACTGCTAGTTGAAAAAAATAAAAGATCCTTCAATGAAATTGTGAAAAAACGTCAAACGAACGGACAGAATAACAAAGACGCATCAAAAAATAACGGACAGACAAAATACTAACACAAATAACGGCAATAACAACGGTAATAGTCCTTTTGGTTTCGGCCATGGAAAAAACAGCACCGGATCAAATAACGGAAACAACAATGGAAGCAACAACAATGGACCAAATAACGGAAACAACACTGGATCAAATAACGAAAGCAACAACGGAAACAACAATAATGGGTCAAATAATGGTAGAAACTACGGAAACAACAATGCCGGTTCAAATAATGGAAACAGAAATGGGAACAATAATCAAGGGAATAATAACGGGTCTAATAATGGGAATTGTAATTCGAGTAGTAATAACGGAAATGGAGTTGTTGGTGACAATCAAGGGAATAATAATGGCAATGGGAATTGTGGGAATAATGATGGGAACAATAGTGATTCGTCAAAGAATGCATCGAGTACGAGTTCAAGCGTTGCATTTGGGGAAAAAGTTTCGAAATGTTTAAAGTATTGAGCTTAGTCTTTATAAGGATGGGTGTACAATCGATTACTTGAGGGATGATATAAACTGACTTCTAAATTTCGATTATTAAATATCGATATAGAAATTATTTGCATATTTTATCTTTATTTACTTTTTTTTAATTTAATCTCGTTTTAACCTTCCATTTTTATGATTATGAAAACATTTCTTCAAAAGCTAAAAGAACAAAATTAATTTTATTTTTTATCTAAAAGTACTGACAATATTTTTGTTAATTGCATCTAATTTAAATCAAGCGTGTAAGGCGAAAAACGATGGTACGATTTTTATTGGATAATTAGCCTTATAAAAAGGCTGATGCATGGCATCTCTAAACCAAATATATTTCCGGTGTTTGAGGGTCGTAATTTATTTCAATCTGGATAAAATTTTAGTGATTGTGAACAGATCAATTATCAAGCTTTATGCGATTACGCAAAATTTTACTATTCAAAATGCTCAGCTTAGAATTTTGCATTATAAAATATATATATTTGTGAGTAAATTACTATGAGAGACAAGAGTTACTAGTGTTTTTAGCATTTCGACCTGTATTCAAACCTGAATTGTGATAGAAGGAGAATACTTGATGTTTTGATCTTTTCTTTTTATTTTTTTTCGCTTATAACGGAATACAATGATTGCTAGGCCGGCCAAGGCCACTAAACTTTTAGGATATAATGTCTTACTCAGATGTAAAAGATTTTCATTTAAGATTATTCTTTTCTTAAAAAAACTTACTTTGCCAGGAATTGTATATATTAATTAAAAAGTATTAAATTCAATAAATATTACAAGAGACAAAAGTTACTAGTGTTTTTTTAGCATTCAATCTGTATTCAATATAAAATAAGGATCTTAATTTTCTGAGAGTATAATGCCTTACTTAAAGACATTTCAGAAAGTATAATTATTTATAAAATTTTCTCATGTTTTAAAAATTCAATGTTATTACTTACTTTATATAGTACAGTAATTTGTTTACATACAATTCCTACAATAAATTACTGGAAATCCAAAAAAAATTAAAATTTTCTCTTTACAATGAAATTATTATTTTTATTTTGTTTTTATATCAAATAAAGCTAAAAAGCTGTATTTTAACATATATTTTTTATAAATATTTTTGATTATAAAGTTAGTTATATAAACTTTGCAATTAGAAATATTTTTGAAATTAAATTTAAAAAAATATCTGTAAAAAATATATATTAAATATAGCTTTTTAGCTTTATTTGATATAAAATAAAAATATTTACTAATAAAAATAATAATTTTATTATAAAAAAAATTTCAAATTTTTTGAATTTTTAGTAATTTATTGTATAAGTATATATAAAATAAAATTATAAAAAATGCCATACAAATAAATTATAAAAATATAGAATTTTGTCTTTATATAAAATTTTCAAGTTTTTATATTTATATTTTAGATTTTAATTGCAAAGTAAGTATAATTATAAAAATTTATATACTTATTTTGCAATTAATAAAATAAATATTAAAATTTTTATTTAAAAATAAATTTTTATATAAAAATAAAATTATATATATTTATTTTCTTATTATTACTATATTAATAAAAATTATTTATGTGTACAATAAATATTTAATATGTTTATATATTATAATAATAAATAGATTTGTGAAAATCTTTTTATTTTGATTATTATTAAAAACTCATTAATAAAAAATTATAAAACAATCAACTGGAAAACTATTAGCAAAACCAAACAAATTTTATGATTTTATAATTTTTATTAGCTAATTAATATAATTATTTGTTTTTGTTTTTTATAATATAATTAAAATGTGTTATTATAAATATTTAACTATAACAAGTATTGTCGATTTAAGAGTTCCTGCACCATGTCAAGTAATTTTTAAAAATTCTTAATTTAAATTTGATTCCAATTAATATAATATTTAAAATTTAAAACAGCTCGTAAATTTAAAAATATCTAAGCTTGCATAAAGAATTATATTATATTATCGTTACTGTCTAAAAAAAACGTAAATTTTGCGGGAATTGACTTTACAGATTCGATTTTATACAATGGTTCTATTTAATATTCACAGTGATTTTCTTTCAAAATTTAAAGAGAATTAAAACTCAATATTATTAGCAGAAACAATTATTTTTAAGGAAAGCTGATGGTGCATAACGATAACATCTAAACATAAAGTCATCAAACGTTTGTATTTTATAAAATTGATACACTTCCTTACTAAGAAGTAAATACAAAATTTAATCCGTGAATATGATAGAATAGGCCCTTTCTGAACATATTCACGGATTAAATTTTATATTTACTTCCTAGTAAAGAAGTTTATCCATTTTATAAAATACAATTGTTTGATGACTTTAGATGTTATGCACCATAAATACAAAAGTATTTTTATTAAAGAAAATAGCAAATTAATTATTTTTACAGAATAAAATATATTTGTGTGTCTTAATACAATAAGCGAAAAATACAAAAATTAAACAGCTTTAATATTTCGATTCTTCGATTGATATTTTTATAACTCATCATGTATGCAGCGTGATTTAATAAGAACAGGTTCTAGGTATTGGGACCGATGATAATGGTATTTTTGAGGATACTGAGCAGAAGATTGTTCATTATAATGTCGACGATGAAAATGATCGAGAGAATCAAGATTATAATTATCTCGTTGAAGATTTTTGATTTCTCTTTTACGAAAATCTTCATAAAGTTCTTCACCGTATATACTTTGTTCGTCTTCTTCTTCATAATATTCATCTTCGCCTAAGTTTGGGTAATATCTGATAATTGGCTCCTCTTCAAGGTATTCTTCCTCTGCGTATTGACCCACCTCGCTTTCTTCTTCAATTTCTTCAACTTGACGTTTCTTTAAAGAAGCTTCGCCTTGTTCTTCCACTTGTTCTTCTTCGCCTTGTTCTTCTACTTGTTCTTCTTCGCCTTGTTCTTCCACCTGTTCTTCTTCGCCTTGTTCTTCCACCTGTTCTACTTCGCCTTGTTCTTCCACTTGTTCTTCTTCGCCTTGTTCTTCCACTTGTTCTTCTTCGCCGTGTTCCTCGATTTGTTCTTCGCCTTGTTCCTCGATTTGTTCTTCTTCACCTTGTTCTTCGGTTTGTTCTTCTTCACCTTGTTCTTCGGTTTGTTCTTCGCCTGATTCCTCGTCTTCGCTTGGTTCCTCGATTTGTTCCTCTTCACCCTGTTCCTCCGTTTGTTCTTCTTCACCTTGTTCCTCCGTTTGTTCTTCTCCATCTCGTTCCTCTATTTGTTCTTCTCCACCTTGTTCCTCCATTTGTTCTTCTTCACCTTGTTCCTCCATTTGTTCTTCTCCACCTTGTTCCTCCATTTGTTCTTCTTCACCTTGTTCCTCCATTTGTCCTTCTTCACCTTGTTCCTCCATTTGTTCTTCTTCACCTTGTTCCTCCATTTGTCCTTCTTCACCTTGTTCCTCCATTTGTCCTTCTTCACCTTGTTCCTCCATTTCTCCTTCTTCACCTTGTTCCTCCATTTCTCCTTCTTCACCTTGTTCCTCCATTTCTCCTTCTTCACCTTGTTCCTCCA